CTATTAGTATTTTGTGATAAAATGAGAAATACTTACATGCCAGAGATGATTTAGTGGCGGAAGAAAAAACACGTTCGGCGCCGATTTTGTTTTGAGGTTATGTTGACAAGGCAAACATATGTTGAGGCACAACAAAAATAAAACAGGCTTGCCCAGACATGGAATACCCTGCGTTGAAAACTTGAAATTCCCCAATTAACATCACACAAAAAATTAAAAACCGCGATGGGTCGTTTACAACCCAATGGGCATATATGGGTTAAGGCCACTGGGGGATGAGAGGGGGTCAATTTTATACGCGGCAAAATTTATTGTACGTCGTATTGGGCCCATTCGACAACTTTTTTTCAATAAGACCCGTTTCTCCCGTGAAATTCGATTTTTTCGCTCCACCTTAGCCACCACTTAGACACATGCTTTCTCTTACACAGCTCTTGAACATCAACGATCTCTTAAACCTCGTGAAAAAACTTTCACAAGGAAAACGAATCGTACATTATTAAATTGCAATTATACAAATTATATAATTTGTATAAACTAAATTGCCGTTTATAAAATATGTAAAGTTGAATATCTGATTTTTAACCAGTATTCCTCGTACCACACCTTTACCACAAGTATTTCTCCTCCCTCTCCCCCACCCCTCCCTCCAAAAAAAAATTACGTAACGTTCATTCGAACCCCCTCAAATTAGTGTTTTTTGATGAATTTTGGATGAAAATTTCCACCTCGCGTTGAATTTTCAGCTCAGGTTTTCGAAAAATCGTTCTTAATGGCTCATTCTGGCGTTACATCACGCAGTCCCAAACGCTCTTCCCTCTCCCTGTAACAACCCCCTGAACGGTCCCTAAGTTCAATATGATCTGTGTTAAAAACATTTTTACACCTCGCTCAAGAGCTAATTCCCGAACTCTCGCAAACAACTTCGTTCGCGATTCTCACCGGAGCCTGAAGGCCACGATACGCTCCACCAATCACATTGAACAAGAGACGGTTAGGATAACAAAAAAATCGACCACGTGAAATTTTTTACTGGGTAATGAACTATTTCGAAAGTCAAATAATTTGATATCTCGTTCGAGGTGCACCTGATCGGACTATTCACGGAAAAAATGGTAAAAAAAAAACATGTTTTAACTCAAAGGAAGAAAGTGGTCTTCGATTTTAAGAGCATTTTTCGGGGTGAATTTTTCTTTTATTATATCAAGGTTTCTTGATGATAGAAAACTTGTTTTGTGAAAGAATTTTTTTGAATTGAAAAAAAAATACTTTCATCTACATAAGAGAAAATCTTTCACACAGAGCAAAGTTTCTAGGAGTGAAAAACATCTTATTTCACTTTGAAAACAACTTTTTTTTCAATCAAAACAATCGTTCTTTAAATCCAAAATGAAGTTTATTGTATAATGTACAATTCGCTCTTGCAGCTCGCCCGGGTGCTCTGCAACATCCAATCGCCATATTCTTTGCCGGGTGCCATTCCCGAGTACAACTGGCTGTAGAATTCATGTCTATAGATGGCATTCCTCAACTAGCCGAAAGCTCATTTTTGTCTGGAACCCTTGTCCATTGCCAGGTCGTAGTTTTGAGTAACCCTTATTGTGGAATTTATGTCTATCAACGACATTTCTTAGCCACATCTTCGATAACCTCTGCTCGTGACATTTATGCCTATCGGACACATTCCGTTGATAGACGTAAGGACACTCGGGAACAGGGCTAAGGAATGGCGAAATGGCGTCTGGCAAACTTAGGTTTGCCTAGGTAAAACTAAAGGTTTGCCTAGGTAGAACTATAGGTTTGCCTAGGTAAAACTAGGTTTGAGTGAAAATTAGGGTATGCCGGTGACAAATGCTGGCAAGAAAAAAAACTTAGAATCGATTGAAATAATGCGTAAGGAAAACGTGTAACAGTTTGCGTGATTGTTTGTTTATTCCAGTTGCGTTTTCTTGCGCATCCGGGCAAACTTGATTGCGAGCCGCTGAGAAAGACTCATTACGGACGCGGGAAATCTGAAAAAGCGCGTTACAAACTACAGGCGAATTGATGGGCTTTAGAGGACAAGGCGCATAAACGCAGTTTTTGAAATACCTGATGAGATATTCATGATTTCAAGTGAAACTACTCTTAACACATACTAGCCGTTCTGGACGCGCGCGTCCGTCACGGCTAACCAAGGGGCTTCGCCCCCTGAACCCCCGATCACTCGCTACGCGAGTGGCACTCGGCTCGCTCCGCGAGCAATTTTCCTGAGTAGTTGGACATTTAATCACTAGGTTGTATACATTTTAGAGACTCTCAAGACAAAAATGATTTTGCCACATAACCTCGTTACCGAAACGTCCCATCATTTGAACATTAATAAATATATGGAGATGAAGCAATGAGGGGGATCGATCATTTCTTCAAAAACGCATTTGACTGGGACGTCAATCCCATCGTGTGGAACGAAGTAAAAACCGTGCATCTCCTTCCGCGATTTGACTCGCTGAAGTAGCAAAAGTTCATCTTTACTTCTTGAGAAGATTATCCATGGCGCAGGGGTCTAAAAAACTGCTCAACGATACTATAGTTCGAGTTCCGAATCGCAATGAGCCCACTCGTGTTTTAGCGGCTCTGGTGCTTGCACTAGAGCTGCTATTCCGGACGGTCCCAGCTGGGGAGTATCAATGGACCATGTTACATTGGAGAGACCGCGCGTTGGTTGATGGGAATCGGCTACCTTGTCATGACTTTATTTTATTGCATATTGTTTTATTGTTAGCCAATGCTATGTTGTGTAGTGTATTTTTGGAATCATGGTGATACAGTCAATAATTCAAAACTTGTCTGTACTGTAATCTCGTGATGGAAAAAATGTACTTTACGTTCAAAATTTGAAATTTTGAATTTTAAAGTTTTCGCGGTTTTTTGGAAGAATGCAGTGGTTGGAGCTTCCTAGGCATATTACTCGATATCAGCTGATAGCAAACAAAGGTTACCAAGGAAACCGTAAACGTTTAACAACTACCGTCGCCAGAGCCGCTTTCCGACGCGAATGCGTTGGAGCTTACTGCTTGTTACTTTCTCGCTCCCCTAGGGTAGAGAGGAAGTATTGTCATCCTCCAAGAAAAAAAAAAAAGTTGAAATTTCATCATTTCTAGACGTTTTAAGGTCCCAGGAGTCAAAATAACCATACTTGAAAAAATGTGTGTCCGTCCGTCCGACGTCCCCCAAATCTGTCTACAGCGATATCTCAGAATCTATCTGTTCGATTTCATTCAAAATTCTCACAGAACACCATATTTATGGTCTCCTTATGCATGTCCAACGATTTTGGGGTACGCTAAAATTTGGGGGGGCTAGGGTCAAATTGGGTTAAAGGTCCATTTTCAGCAAAATCACACGGAAAGCTCATTTTGAGGGACCGTAAATTTTGAAAAATGCCTTTAATTCTTTAAAAGTGGGCATCAAGCACATCACCTGGGTCATTAATTTAAGTTCCTAAAAGATCTTTGGACTAAACTCAAAATTCAAGGGATTACGAGGCCCAAAAGTAGGGCACTTCGCTCCGCGACATCACACAAACAACTCATTTTCAAAGACTGTAAATTTGAAAAAAAATGCCTTTCATTTCTTCGAAAGTTGGCATAAGAGCACCACCTGGTTCAATAATGTAAGTTCCTATGAGGTCTTTGGACTAAACTAAAAATTGAAGGGTTACGCGTCATATAGCGAGGAGAGCACTTCGGTCACACGGAGAGCTCATGGACTGTAGATTTTGAAAAAATGCCTTTAATTCTTTGAAAGTTGGCTCAAAAGCACCATCTGAGTCATTAATTTAAGTTCCTAAAGGATTCTTGGACTAATCTCATAATTGCAGAGGGGCCGATAGGAAACGCTCAATTCTCTGATAAATGAGTCGGAACGCTTCTAGATAATAGCAGCAAACGCTTTGAGTCAGGTGAAACCTAGGAATTCAAATGCATTATATAATGCATCATATACTATTTCCAAAATTACTCCGTAGGTATACACCAAGCAAAATTAGACAACTAATTAGGTAAGTACTTACAATATATATTTACTATGAGTCATCAAGCTGACGCAAGAACTGACACTTACATCTTTATTAAATACTAATATGTTTGTTGTTAATGAATTTAGAATCCCGGCAGATTCCATCTTTCGCGGTTCCTTTTTACGAGGTACTAAGCACAAATATAATATAATAATACGGCACAAATATGACTGATTTAATGCTTGTTACTTAATAAAGGAGATTATCAATTATTAGAACCCGAGGTTTGTTGACGTTTGTCGACAGCAGCAAGGAGATTGCGCTCTCAGCGCTCTCTATTGTTTTCGCTTTGAATTACAGGGATACGCGGTAAGGAGATGGCGCTCCTGGCGGGCGTGTGGTGAACCTTCCAGCAGGTAGATTCGCCCGCCAAATTTAAAATTTGGGAGATGCTAAGCAAAAACCGTTTAGTTTTAAGACTATTTGAACATCGAATAGTCATTCTACCCATTCAAGTAGATATTTGATGGCTTTTGACCGTGCTTAAGGAGAGATTATAATATAAAATCGTCTATCTTGATAACTTTTGGTCAAACGAGATCGTGGCTGTAATATCCATGGCTATAACAGTATAGAAAAATACGCATCTTCGACTGCCGCGTTGCAATTCTCTCTTATGTTTTATTGCTTTGAAATGGGGATCAATCTTTTTTTTTGTATTCTCTCTACATTTTTACCGCATCTAAAAATATTCAATTATAGACACTGTATCACTTGCGCTGGTCACATAATCTTTTTTTATGATTACAGATAATAGGCAAGCAAAAATTAATAAGATCTGTTCAAAAACCAGGTTTTTAGGTCTTTGGGTTTAATAAAACGTCACGGTACTTCATTACATTATACGTATTTGAGGGAAAGGGTGGCTCCACTTTATCATGGATTCACTTATCTGGAGGATTACTTCAACTCCTGAAATCTATGTCAATGATATGATAACAACGATTTGAATGATTTATGAAATATCATACTAAGGAAAAATCGGAAGAAATCCTCAATTACCAAGGCAAGATTTGGATTAATAGGGGACCCCAGCATTTTGAGTTCCTTGACAAAATAAAGCTTAATGCCGTAGACCCATGCAATGTCGGTAATAATGAAGATGATAAACATCAGCCGAAGAGGACGAAACGTTATTTTATTGGTCAGTTCCTTCAATTGTTCTTTCAAGAAGCCACCCCTTTTTGCCACAGGTTCGCCTTCTGAAAAAAAGACGTGAAGAATAATTCACAATTTTTTTTTTAAAAACGGTCGCAGTATATGGAATAGTCTTTTTCTCCACACCTATAACCTAACAGCATGAGCAGAAATAGGGAGCGAGGGGCCTGTCGCCCCCTCCCCTAAAAGAAAAAAGAAAAATTTTTCAACCGTTCATTTGTAGGTCATATCGCATACCTTTAATCGGTAAACTCGAATATGCAGAGTTCTCTCGGCTCAGCCGAGCAGACTTCACGGTGTATTTGACTAAAGATAGGAACTCAGGTTCAACTTCGGCCGAGCTAACCCAACCTCTCAACCAGCACAGGGATTTTTTGGCCTCGTCCAGTCGACCTCTAAGTATCAGCCACGTTGGCGATTCGGGCAGCTGAAAATTAGAGTAACAATAAGGTAAAACACCAACATAAAAAATATGATTCAAAAGCTTGAAATGTTCGGGAGGGGAAAAGACCCTATAGCCTAGAGAATCAACAATTTCAGTAGAGTAATTCTTGTTAAGCTGGGTTGAAAACTGAATTTTGAGATTTTGACTGAAAATTCTCTCTATATTTCTTTTAGAGTATGTTGTGGACAGTACAGTGCATTGTTTCCCAAAAGTGGACAAAAAATTTCATTGTAATCTGGCAATAGGACTTCATTTTGCAATAATTAGGTACTACAATCGCTGACACATTTGTAGAAGTGCTTATCTGCATATGGAAACTAATTGCACCTACGTTGTTTCTGAAGTGCGCTGGAAAGTGTAGCTCCTAATTGCAGGATATAGTACAATTTGTGCCTTGAGAAGGGCAGCATCATGAGTGTGATACCCTTTCAGTGGATGCAACTGGACCTCGTCATTGCCTCTGTAGTCTAGTTTTAGTCATTAAAAAATAAAATAAAAAAAATAATCGGCTCAAGAATGGGTTCTCCTTAAATTTGCCGTCAAAACCTTTGTTCATCTTGATTCGAGCTGAATTTCTCCAGGAACAAGGAAATACATGTTTGGAATAAGCCCAATAGTAGCTCAAGGTAAACAGCATCATTCTCTATTTATAAAAAACTTTGAATTGCCACAGCTCCGGTGTGTTTTCACATCTCTCAGAACTTTCCATCCCAAATAATCGTAAAGTCTCCATCAATTCTTATAGGCACTGATGACTCAATTTTGAGATTTTCTGCCCGAAGGTACCCTTCCCCGGATGTCTGAAAATTATTTGAGTGTGTTGTCTAACCTGAGTCATGAATGTGAATGTGATGATAGAGCATAAACTGCTCACTAAAGCAACCGTTCGCCAATCGAAAAGGTAACCAAATAAGAACATTGTGCAAATACCTGAGAGATAAATTAAAATTAGAACATAACAGGTAGGTTAAATAGATGTAAAGATTGTGCATATATATTGTCATAATAGATTGCATCGTTAAGTTTTAGGCAATACGGATCAATGGTGAATATTTCATTGAAGTGACTATTGTAGAATCAACAATTTTACTCAAATTTTAATTAAATCTATTTGCTACTCATTTACACCAGGGTGACAAGTCTTCTTTTCAATGAAAATGTTTATGAGTCACCGGTTGAGAGACAAAAGCTTAAAGCTCTAATCAATGGTCCATGTCAACTACATTTTGTAATTAAGAACTATAATATCTGGTTCAGTTGAAAATCAACATATGTACCATTGGTTTTCCTATAGACATATGTGATTTACCGGATGAGGTAGAACTTGTGGTTTTTAATTGCAAAATATAGTCCATTTTACAAGGGAAAAATCGAACATCGTAAGAGATGCACTCTCTACAAAATTCAACTCAACAAAGTTCATGAGATGGACACATTGCAAAAATATCTAGTCTCTACTCAACTATGAGAAACTGGCATTTTACGTGCTCGTAAAATCCTTATCTCCTGCACACCAAGAATCAAAGTCTTCTCAAATCAAAGGCACTCCTGTGCTAGCCATCAGTTTTAACACTTAGTAGGTTAGTAGCATCAATATGCTCAAAAAGTCGACTGAAGTGCCCAAGACATAAAGACGAAGCTCTACAAGCAGAGCTGCTGGTCCGCACAGCGCACGCAACGATATTACGCTTTGAAAAATTCGGTTTATTCCGTCATCCATCGCGGTAGTGACACCCTTGGTTTCTTCCACCTTACCGTCATCCTAGGTACACGTTGAGTAGCCAGAGCAAATGTCTGTTTCTTTAATTGATGAAAGCAAGGTGGAAGAAACCAAGGGTGTAACCACCGCGGTGGATGACGGCAAAAACCCGAGTTTTTAAAGGAAGATATCTCGCTTAATATTGAACGTAGAAATTTGCTGTTTGGACGGATCTTATTATTTTTAGCTAATCTACAAGAATCAAGCATCAAAACACGATTCCATGACCAACGCAACTGACTCATTTTCAATCTTTTTTTCACGGCTAATGAGGGTGGCCCAAAGGTCCTGTCTAACCCCCCCCCCCTTTTTTTTTTTACGAGACTTTGGGGATGTTGATCAATGTAAGCTGCCTTAAGGTGATTCGATGGACGCCATATATTGTGTCAGAACGGTATGCGATATATCGCATCCATTGGTTCCATTTTTTCAGCTACTTGTCATTTTTCTCCAATTTTGAGATCGCAATTCTGTTGTCAGGAGACTAAAGCACTTACTTACCAATTTTAGCATAGAAATTCAACGTAATAAAGGCGTGTTTTTTTAGATTTTTTTAGAGAGAAAACATCGCATTCGATACTGATATCGAAACTGCACTCGAATGCGATATTTTCTCTCTAAAAAAACCGCGTCTTTATTTCGTTGAATTTCTTTGTTAAAATTGGTAAGAGAGTGCTTTAGTCTCCTGACAACAGAATTGCGATTTCAAAATTGGAGAAAAATGACGAGTAGCTGAAAAAATGGAACCAATTGATGCGATATATCGCATGCCGTTCTGACACAAAATATGGCGTCCATCGAATCACCTTAAGGGCGCCCGGAAAATTTTGAACGGTCTTAAAAGTGGCATATATCAATCCTTTAACATACTCGCCGAGTTTCGTTTCAAAATATGAAGTAGCCAAAATTTTAGAGGAACTGGATCGAGCTTTAGGGCACCATGTATGTATATTACCTATGCTAAAACAGGATGTTGAAGTAGTAGATAGCGTCCCTCTCAAACGTGGCTCCCCAATCTCGCCGATGTAGGCGTAGAGGGCGGGCTTCGGCCAGACCCGTGCAAAGTCCCATGATGACCGAAACGACGTAGAGCGCGTGGATGGATTCGGCGAAGTACAGGAGCATCCATCCCATGAAAATGGGGATGTTGACGAGCATCATGGCCCCTTTCCGACCGAATTTATCTTGCAACAGCCCCGACGTCAGACTACCGATAGGAAAACAAAAGTCTGGAATGCTCCCTGCCGAACACATGTAACCTTTAATCGCATTGTTTTCATACGCTAGATGGATTTGAGTGTCATAATGGCAAAAATACGCTAAAAAAGTGTTTTTAAGGTGATTCGATGGACGCCATATTTTGTGACAGAACGGCATGCGATATATCGCATCAATTGGCTCCATTTTTTCAGCTACTCGTCTTTTTACTCAAATTTTGAGATCGCAATTTTGTTATCAGGAGACTAAAGCACTCGCTTACCAATTTTAACAAAGACATTCAACGTAATGAAGGCTTGGTTTTTTTAGAGGGAAAATATCGCATTCGAGTGCAGTTTCGATATCAGTATCGAATGCGATGTTTTCTCTCTAAAAAAACCACGGCTTTATTACGTTGAATTTCTTTGTTAAAATTGGTAAACGAGTGCTTTAGTCTCCTGACAACAGAATTGCGATCTCAAAATTGGAGAAAAGTGACGAGTAGCTGAAAAAATGGAGCCAATTGATGCGATATATCGCATGACGTTTTGACACTAAATATGGCGTCCATCGAATCACCTTAAAAGATCTTTACAAATCCTAAAGTGTTTTAAAGATGTTTCTTGCAAATTTTCCCGATGTGTTTTACAGATTTGAAAACGGGGGAAATATAAATTATTGCACAAACGACCTAGAACATTCAAGGAGATGAACTATAGTGACTTATATGCATTTTTTGGATTCTGTAATTTAAATGAACTGGATCTCAAGATTTGTTTAATTACCAAACCAGGACGCTTGATCATCGTTCATGTTGAGAGGCTCCGCAGGGTTGTTGTGAAGCGAACCAAGAATGACTGTAGGCATGACCAATTCCAGCCCGATTTCGATAAACAGCCAGTTTTGCATTATTGACGCCAATATCTGTAATGTTCAAGAATTATCAATGTCAACTATGAACTCAAGACCTAAGAGTCAGCTTAATTTGGGGCCAACACTAAGTTGATGGTTAAGTGCCAACCCTCTCCCCCTAATACTCTCAATAATACTGTGCTGAGCCGCTTTAAAAAATAATGCGTTAAAAAAAATTACAAACTTTTATACAACCTTCTTCTCCTCTCTGAAAAAAATATAATTTCTAAATATCACGTTGAATGTGCGTATTACAGGATGTCAATGTGGTGACTAATTCTAGATAAAACAAGTTGGTTTTTGCAATCGCTAGCGATAGCAATATTCATGGGAACTTTTGCTTCTGGGATATGAAAATGTTAAGGTACAGTTCGTTTGTAGTATCTTCAGAATTGAAGGGGCTATGTAATTTTGTGTCGACATCTCTTTTTTAACATTTTTAATTTTTTTCTTTGCATACAAGAAAACTGTTATTTACCAATTATTTATTTTCGTTGGATTATGTATGGTTTTCGGAAGTTAACGCATTTAACTTTCAGTTTCGTTTTTTCGGCATAAAGTATGATATTTTTACTCTACGCATATGCCCGAATACGCATCATAAGTGACCTATGTGCTTCCTAAATTGCCATTTTTTTCATTCAAATATATGTAACTGAACTGTTAGATGTGTACTACCTATACTACTTTCATGTCATTGCTTTATTTATTTATTTATTTACTTTTTGCGTTGGTATAAATTGTTATTTTTTGCTGAATTTTGGAGAAAATATTGCTTTAAGAACGTGGAATGTAAATTAATTTTATTGAAAAAAGAAAATACCATCATTAATTTGGGCGAACAGAGAAAATATACATCAATATTTGGGTCAACATCTCCCTGATTATATAAAGGATGAATATATTAGTATTTCTGTATCAAAAAACTTAGCTTTTGTCTTCAGAGATACGATGATTCTAGTCCCAGTCAATTTGTTTTATTGAAAAAACAAAAAAATAAATAAAAAAAACAACTGAAATGTTAGACATACTATTTTCATGTCTTTCTATTTGTATCGATAGGTACTTTTTGCTTAACTTACGAACGTTGAATGCAAATTAACTTTATTGAAAAAAGAAAATAACGTCATTAATTTGGGGGAACATGTGGCTGATTATATGAAGGAGGTATATTCCAGTATTTTTGTTTAACATATTAATTCACGAGAAAATGTTCGTACATTTATCATCTAGTATTAATTATTTTTTGATGATTAGTCTAAAACATTCAATACAACCATTAAAAAGTAACACCCATCGTCGGGTATCGAACTCCCGATCGCCCATTGCCCGCACCTAATCAAAAACATGAGGCAGTTTAGTCAACTAGGCTATAACGGTTCGGCGAGTGAGAGAGTAAAAATAGCATACAAAAGACTCGGGCAATGGGCGGGACTTATCACAAGAGACCTCGACGCTTTGTTGCTGAGAGAAATGACCTAAGCGCATTGCTGTAGGAGCCATGGTTCGCACTGTTTTCATGTCTCGCAGGGTTCATCTCAACATGCATTTGTCATCGCGGCAGTAAGCTGAGGCGATATTTGTTTATCCATGAATTAAATCAATCAATCGAGCTCTGATTTTGACTTCTTTGTCCGTAACGAGTCCTCCAGAACAATTTTCCACCTTGTACGATGGTTATTATTTCTTTACTTCTATTTTTCAAATTTGAGGTGGGATAATGGCGGCTTCTCAAGAGCACCGAGGTAGGCGATCTTTTGCACCAACGAACAGAAAACTGATGGCGAAAAATAACCAATCAGAACCTCCCAAAAAAAAGAATTTGCCCAAAATCGGAACTTCGTGGTTCTGCGCAGATTTACCAGTGTTCCCGCCACAGCGGATCCACCAGGTATTTGGAAACTCGGAAGTTTCCCCCGCAATACGCACACGGACAACACGCGTTGCACCGCGACGTAATTGTCTCTCTCCGCGGCGTTTGCTCCTAGCGAACTTCGCCCGACCGCCGCCTGAGGGCGCTCCGCGCACCACGCGCGATCAGCTGACCGACACCGACCGGTCTCTTTGTAGGTCACTGTGCTTCTCTGCTTGTCTGTTTTTCACGTCCTGCTTGTACGTCGAAGCTGCTTGGAGTTTGGCTGTTCCGCATCCTGAGGGTTTCTTTATTAGCATTCTGATTCTTTCGCTTTCTTATTAGCACTTTCTTCCTTTATTAGCTGTACTGCACGGTAAGCCGCATTTTTCTTTTGTCACTACCGCCTCCTTTGCCACCGCATGTGGAGACCTCGGCCTTGGAGCCCACCGCTGTTCATCACCGCCGCACCGCCGCATGGCCTCATCTTCCCAAACAAAAAGGGTTTTGGGAAGATGATCGGCTGAGCGCCACCACGTTTAGGTTCGGGGGGATTCAGTTTAGGAGAGAGAGGTGAGGCCACCTATATACAGTCACATTTTTTAGCTCAGCCCTGACGCTACAACCAGTCAGACACGACATCTCAAGGTGGAAAAAAACTCGCTGAAAGCGAATTTTAGATCTCAACACAACTTGACGTAGAGACATGATTGGCTAAAAAATACAACGGTTTTTGATACATCGGAAAATCAACCACAAATCGAAGACTGGGCGAAACGCTCAAGGTCGCAGAGGCATAGGGAATCCCATAGCGATAGCAACGGAACGATTGTAATATCATGGGGAACTCCGTTCCCATGACAAAATGTACAGTGTTTCTAAACTAAAGAACTTAATTGCACTCAACAAACATGGAAGCTTTTCCATGTCTTTGCACCATCATCAGTGTCAAAAGTTAGAAACTACCTACTCCATTTAGTTAATTAATTAATTCTGACCAGAGGGATTAGCCTCAACGTGTTTTTTTTAGCACTTTTGCCAATCTGTCACTTTTTTTAAAAAAAAAAAAAAAATTGCTATAGTAAAACGTTTTGTTCTCTAAGAAATGTCAGTTACGTTTATTTAGCTCTGAATTATGTCCTGAAAATTACACGATCTTCGATTTTAGTTGTATTCACGTACCTGTGCCCATGCCGATTTTTTCGCATTTGCATACTGAAAGTGATCCTTGACGTCTTGCTCTGGAACATTCAGACATGTAAATTGTTCGGCTGGGTTGTGCATTTCGATTCAACAGAACTAGCACCGTATTAAAATTCAAAATTGCGGGTGTGAAAATTTCAGAGTTTAGATTCACCTTGACGTTGACTTATCTGCAAGAAAATACATATCACTCAAAATTCAAGAACTAATAAAAATCCATTCTATCTCGGGATTCTTGGAAGTATTTTTACATAAATTGTATTTTACTTTGCAAATGATTTTTCTCTAGTTGACGGATCGGCTACATCTCTTTAATTACTTTAAATTTTACTAAATAGCTGGCTTTTATTTCAATATTTGCGAAAGAAAGACAGTTTTAGATAGAACTGTTTTATAATATCGATGACAAACGTGAACCTCGTATCTCCATTACAATGTCTCGAAACCGCACCTATTTTATTTTTTCGAAAAGAAACGAACAAACTTCATGACTTGACATTTGTACAGAGTATTCTGCTAACAAAAAGGAAAAATCAAGGAAATTTTCAAGAAATTACGTTGGCTAGCTTTCCAAAGAGAAAATAAATTATGCAACGTCGCAAACGAAAATACGTGGTTTCGCACTTCGGCTATGGAGATCCTCTGGGAACAGTAAGATGTGATGGTGGAAATGTCGAAAAACTAAAATCTAGATCGTAATTTTTTGGTCTTACCGTTGAATGTGGCCGCTCTATGGAGAAGACTACAATGCTAAACAGTTTTTTTTCCTTTCAGAAAAGCAATTCTTATCAAATTAGATAAAAAAATACTCAGCATTTTTTAGACCTCTACAAACTCTAATCTACGAACGATTAAGCCGCAAGCCTCCCACGAATGCTGACCAAGCAAACTTCGAACCACTCATATCCTTAATTTTCTACAAAAAATTAAAAATTAAGTTATGTAATGCAACACATTAACATTGATGTCCTTTTTTAGGCTCTAAATTTAATTTGCTTTCTCAAAGTGCCTCAATATTGAAACAATGATGGGTCACCACTTAGACACATGCTTTCTCTTAAACAGCTCTTAAACATCAACGATCTCTTAAACCTCGTGAAAAAATTTACACACGGAAAACGAATCGTACACTATCAAATGGAAATTTTACAAATTATGTCATTTGTGTAAACTAAAATGCCGTTTATAAAATATGTAAAGTTGAGCATCCGATTTTTAACCCCCCCTCCCCGCCCGTTTCCTCATACCACACCCTTATCGGTGCGGTGGCGTTTGCGGACGTGGCGTTTGCGGATTCTAATTTTTCTTCCAATTTTTCATAGAATTTTGTTCGCACTTTAATACACATTACCTGAAAATTTCATAGAAAAATACCTATGCACCTATGTGTTTTCATTTTTATGTAATTTTTTTTCTTTCAGTAATTTTGGACTAGAATTTACAACATGTTTTGAATCCTAAACAAGCAGTTCCAACGCCAAAGCGTTGGAGGGCGCTTCTTTAACACTGCGCATGCGAGGAACGGTTTCATACGGCCAAGCGAGAGTATTGCGGACGGACGATGTATAACAAATTGCCTACGTGAAGGTGGTCCGGCAGCAACATACCCGCCGCTAGTCTCTGGAAAACAATAGAAAATAGTAGTTGCGTACGTTGCCAGCGAGCGCGCTGCGAGCGCATCTGTTTCAATTACCTAGCATCGAGTCGGGCCTCTAACTTTCTATTCTCTCTGACATAACCTTAAACCTTCAACCCAGAGCCGCAAACAGCTGACGCTTGACGATGCTGCGCCGAGAAAATGAACCAATCACAAAATAGCACAGTAATACGTCACTAAAATGAAGAGATCACGTGACTGTTCGTGATTTTTTCGAATCAATCTGAAACTACAACCTCGAATATGAGGCATTTAAGCATAACGAAGCCCCAAAATAGTTTAACTAGGTAATACGTCCGTGCGAGATTATTATGCCTAAAAGCAAAACATTTCACGAAAACTTTTACGAATACCAGATGCAGAAGAAAATCAAATTTTCCCGGGTGTACCAGAATGGCGTCATTACCCATAAGGCAAAACGGTATGTAGTATAGTACATGTTACATCGGGGGAGTCGAACGGCTGGAAAGGGCGCATCTGGTACCCAGAAGCGCCCAAAATGGACTGAAACTGACGATTTTTTAGTTTCTTGATTTCTGATATGCATGTTTTAAAAATTTACCGTATGTTCACTGCTCATATGTTTTTATACTAATATAATACTAATGTTTAATACTAATATTTTTTTTTTTTATCCACGGAAAGGAATCCAGAGCCTGGCGGTGTGCTTTATTCGGAAATTGGGTACTTCGGGGTAGGTTCGACACCAAGAAAATACAACTTTTTAACGACTTGAGCGCGCACCGTGGTATACGCACAATGTATGAAGTATCCTGCAGACTTGTATGGCGCTATGCTATGTCGTCAGCGCGCATCGTGCTGTACACGCAATGCATGAAGTATCCTGCAGACTTGAAAGGCGCTATACTACGCGTCACGTGCACCGTGCCGTACGCGCAATGCATGAAGTATCCTGCGGTCTTTTAAGGCGCTACTGTGCGCCGTGCGCGCCGGCCGCACTGTGTTTGATGTGAATATTCAAACTTGCGGCGTCAGCGGTTTTGAACTTATGATTTTGAAGTTTTTGTTGAGTTTGTTATTGTCATTTCAAATGATAAAGTATTACATAAAACCCAGCTAATTCGCATCTTTTCAATTATATTTTTATAAATAATTTTAAAGCTTCTCCGGTAATTTTTTTCTTTAATATACAGCGCAGGAGTGGGGGGCAGCATAATTAAGTGCCTACCCCTCCGTTCGCAATCACCACCGGCCCTGTTCCGCCTTTCCGCAATCGCCACCATCAAAATATTAGAATCCGCAATCGCCACGTCCGCCAACGCCACCGCACCCCCTTATCACAAGTATTTCTCCTCCCTCTCCCCTCCCCTAAAAAATTACGTAACGTTCATTCGAACTCCCTCAAATTAGTGCTTTTTGATGAATTTTGGATGAAAATTGCCACCTCGCGTTGAATTTTCAGCTTAGGTTTTCGAAAAATCGTTCTTAAGCGCCCATTCTGGCGTTAAATCACGCAGTTCCAAACGCTCTCCCCTCTCCCTGGAACGACCCCCTGAACGGTCCCTAAGTTCAATATGATCTGTGTTAAAAATACTTGTTTACACCTAGCTCAAGAGTTCATTTCTGAACTCTCGCAAACAACTTCGTTTGCGAATCTTTCCGGAGCTTGAAGGCCACGATACGCTCCACCAATCACATTGAACAAGAGACGGTTAGGATAACAAAAAATCGACCACGTGAAATTTTTTACTGGGTAATGAACTATTTCGAAAGTCAAATAATTTGACAACTCGTTCAAGGTGCACCTAGTAGGACTATTCACGGAAAAAATGGTAAAAAAAAAAAACATGTTTTAACTCAAAGGAAGAAAGTGGTCTTCGATTTAAAGAGAATTTTTCGGGCTGAATTTTTCTTTTATTATACCAAGGTTTCTTGATGATAGAAAACTTGTTTTGTGAAAGAATTTTTTTGAATTGAAAAAAAAAATAACTTCATCTACATAAGAGAAAATCTTTCACGCAGAGCAAAGTTTCTAGGAGTGAAAAACATCTGATTTCACTTTGAAAAAAACATTTTTTTAAATCAAAACAATCGTTCTTTAAATCCAAAATGAAGTTTATTACATATGTACAATTCGCTCTTGCAGCTCGCCCGGGTGCTCTGCGACATCTAATCGCCGTATTCGTCTATCCCACTGAAAAAAAAATCACGGTGTATTTACTAAAAAAAGGGTAAAATTACTAAGAATTCAGGGTTCTATTTGATCCTAGTTTTTTCTTGGTAAAATTACCATTTATGGAATTGGTAATTTAACCGAGAAATCTCGGTAAAATTATTGAACTTCCTCGGTAATTTTACTGGACCTTGGTTAAAAACGCCACTATTTTTTATCGACTGTGGTAGAATTACAGAGATAAAATGGCAAAGTTACCGGGAATTGGTTACCAATAACAGTGGTATTCTTACCTGAAAAAACAGTAAAAATACCGGTTTTTAGGTAAGCTTACCAGTCTGTCTTGGTAAAAATATCAAGAATTGGTAAAAAAACCAAGAATTGGTAAAAAAAAAGTGAGATGGTAAAGGTACCAACGGACCTTGGTAAAAACGCCGAGAATTTTTTTTCAGTGCGAAGTAGAGATCATATGGTAAATTGCACCCTGCAATTTCTTCGGCACTTTAATTTACCTTATTCTTTAAGATTATTAAGAGATTCCAAGAGGAAGCACAACATTTCCCAACAATGTAACAATGCTCTTCGAACAGATTTCTCTAGAGTCGATCGTGAGGGCAAGCGAGGAGAGAAAATTAGAACAGTGAGGGATGAAGATCGAATTGTCAGACTGCTGCTTGAAAATCAAACTTTTTTCATAGGTTGCTTGGTTACTTTTAACAGGCCACGCACGGTCAGGCAACAACGCTCTGGGTCCGATCAGACTGTCCCCAAGGACTTGGAGGTGGTTCTCCTTCTCCACGCTCAAGAATTGTTCATTTAAGTCTGAAAAAATAAGCAAGTTCATAAATTAGCAGACGCCCAATTCAGACATAGGATATCGGAGGTTGTCAAGTTGATTGTGCAGGTTAGTGTTAGCAAAGCATCCGACTGAATTGCTAAAGGAAGTGATATTCTTTTTGGCATATCGGAGACAGTCTAGTCAATTGACTCGTAGATCCAGTCAAATAGAATCCGAATTTCATGCAAGCTAAAGTAATTTAGAGGCACTTTTAGAACCAATTACAGTTAATCTCAGTCAAATGAATTGAAATATAGCCAAATTTGACTCAAAATTCAAGTTTTTGACGTGATCTTATTGTCCATGGGGGAACCGGATTAACTATTTTAAGCAGTGTAAGATTTCAAACCGGACATCTGGAAAAAGCTCTAAATGTATAGAAATAATCGTGCAATTTTTCATGTATGCATATTGAATACCACTGAAATTTAAGTTAATGGACATTCGTTATTACTTTACACGTTCAGGAGAAGAAGTTAGACATATTAAACAAGCATAAAGTGTCGATGTTTCAACAAAAATAATTGTTTGGTAGT